AATTTGTGTATTTATTTATTTATTTAAAACAAAACCATCACAATAAGTATTAAACTTCAGTCCATAACTTGGAGTCTTTTGAATGGATTTGAACGTTTTTTTCCTTCTTCTTTTTCTTTCTTTTTTTTCACATTTGACATTAAAGCTTTATCAAGAGCCCAAACTTCCTGATCAAACTTCTTTCAAACTTTCACAACGTAACAGCAAGTTGCAGATTTGAATTTAAACTTTAGTAAAAAAGGACACATTTTACACAACTTCCATCCAGTAATTGTTTTTGAGACCTCGCAGACTCTTTTGCATCAGTCTGTCACGCATGCATAATTTATTTTATCAGACAATGATATACATTATTCAGAATGATTAGCATGTGATTTGAATTAGGTGAATGAAGGTCTTTTGTCACTGCTGATTGGCCAAATATATAAAGTGAACTGATGTAGGTCACTGGCTGTGTTTCGTGACACAATAGTCGGTCTGTCCTCTGGTCATCAGTGTCTGTGTCACAGTGTTGACCGTCTGCCCTCATCCTGTGTCCTGAACAACCAAACACAGCGTCAGCAGCAATACCAGACACTTCAGTTCCTGTCAAAAGCCCTATTGAGGGTTTGTTCATGCATTTGCTTGATCACTTGTGCCCTCTAGTGTTCAAAAGGAAAATGTTTGTCTGACAAAAATAAGTGTGAGTGCTTGCCATTGTTTGTGTGTAGATATATTGCTGAGTTTGCGAATATTCCTCACTTGCAAAAATTATGAATTTATTTGAAGTAAACACTTTATGAAATCTGTTTCTGGAGTTAATGAAAAAAAAAAAAAAGACAACTTACAAAATAATTATACATATAGTCATGGTCGCCTAAATTTGTGTCTTATAGGATTTCACCCCCCCCAAAAAAAATAGAGTTTTAAATTGTTACAGTGGCAGTAACTGTTAAAGATTAATTTTAGTTTTAATTAAATTACAACCCATAATGTATTTGTGCTTGTTTAATAATTTAATTCTCAGGAGTGGACCATAAATGACTGGAATAATTTTCAACATAATATGATAGATAGATAGATAGATACATATATTTATAAATATAATGTAAAATAAAAAGAGAAAGTTCTAAAAATTCTAATAGAAAATTGATTGATATTTATCCATCAAGATAATTAATTTATATTGTGGAAAAGTGGAAGGTAGTAGTAAGTAAATAAAAAAATAAATATTTATATTTCTAAATATACTATAAATTAAAAGCATATAATAATAATATTCTACTAGAAAAATGTTTTTTATCTATCAAGTTCATTGATTTATATTGTGAAAAAGTGATAAATAAATAATGAAATATAGTCTGAATATAATATTTGTATTTCTAATATTAATAATTAAAAAATAAAAACAATTCAAATATATGACAAAATAATATATACATGACAAAACAATCACAATAAAACATTTTGTCATATATATATATATATATATATATATTTTTTTTATCTAACAAGGTGATTGTCTCTGTATGATAACTTTAATAATTTGGTTTTCAGGAGTGGACCATTAATTTTTAATTCATTTTAATTTTAAAATGAAATTTAATCAAAAATTTAAAAGAAACATAAAATAGTAAATAAATAAACAAATAAATAAAAATGGTCATCTAAATATAATACATATAAAACCTATTTCTGAAAATAATATGAAATAAAATATATATAGATTTTTATCCATCATGATTATTGATTTATATTGTGAAAGAGTTGTCTCTGTATGATAATTGTTTCCAAAAGAGGGTTTGAAAAAATTCTATTTTTGGAAAGACGTGCATTGGTAAATCAGTTAAATCAGCAGTAAAGTAAATGATAGCATATTGTCATATTGTTAATATTGTGAATAATTGCGTCTGTGCTGTGTGTCCGTCAGTGCCGGTGTGGGCAGGACAGGAACGTTCATCGTCATCGATGCCTTGATTGACATGATGTATGCAGAAAAGAAGGTGGACGTCTTCGGTTTCGTGTCACGAATACGTGAGCAGAGATCGCAGCTCATTCAGACGGATGTGAGTAGAGCATGTCATTGGTTTTTGCACCATTTCTCATCTACTTATTTAACTTAATGTCATTAAAGAACAGGTGACAGGAGTAGCAAGCTTAAAGATGACTGAAAATCTGGTTTGTGTTGTAGTTGCAGTACTCCTTCGTCTATCAGGCTCTGCTGGAGTACTTCCTGTACGGAGACACGGAGCTGGACGTTTCTTCTCTGGAGGGTCACCTGGATAAACTTCACAACACCAGTGTGCCGCTGGACCGTGTGGGCCTGGAGGAAGAGTTTAAGGTGAGGATATTAGTGGTGTGCAGTTGTTGATTCAACAGATTTTTAATGCATTTTTAATGCTGGCTTTGCAGAAACTGACAAACATGCGTATTATGAAGGAAAACATGAGGACGGGCAACCTGCCTGCCAACATGAAGAAGAACAGAGTCCTTCAGATTATTCCATGTGAGTTTAAGATCATCTGCATTCATGAAGATCAAAAACCCTGAGTGAATTATGCAATCTAATCTCAAAACAAACATAAAAGTGGCTGTGAAACATAATTCATGTCTTTTTTCGATCTAAAATGTTGTTGTGCGGCTCGGTTTTGTTTACAAGGAAGTTAATCAGAAATCTCTCTTCCTTTTCCTGTTCTGCTTGTGACTTCAGTTCAACATGCAGTTCAAAACACCAGAGGTTTATGCTAGAGGTCAATTTATGTCTTTTCTCATTCATTTGTTCAGATGATTTTAACCGAGTCATCCTTTCGATGAAGAGAGGTCAGGAGTTCACCGATTATATCAACGCATCTTTCATTGATGTAACTTTCTTTCTTTCTTTCTAAGAATGTTTTCTTTTAGGGCTTGTGTTTGGATTAACCAGGTCCAAAAAGAACGTTTTGCCAATTTACCAGCCATGAATTTTTCTTAATTTTTGTATTTTTCTTATTTTTGTCCTTATGAAAAAGTGTGAATATTTAGCTGTTTTTCATGCATATTAGTGACAGTCAAACCAGAAAGAAAGAAAGAATGCTTGTAAAACCTCCACTCAGGTCAAAGTTGTTGGAAGAATGTAATAGTTTACAATACCTTTCAAAAGTCTGGTCTCGGTAAGAATGAAACAAATAATAACAATAATAATAAATCATCACGGCTGCATCTATTTGATCAAAAATACAGTAAAAACAGTAATACTGTGAAATATTATTACAATGTCAAATAAATCTTTGAACTCTATTTGAATGTGTTTTCAAATGTAATTTATTGCTGTGATCAAAGCTGAATTTTCAGCATCATTACTCCAGTCTTCAGTGTCACATGATGCTGATTTGATGCTCAAGAAACATTTCTTGTCATTATCAATGTTGAAAAGGGGACCGTGATACATTTTTTTTCCAGGAATATTTGATGAATACGAAGTTCAAAAGAACAGCATTTATTTGAAATAGATATTCTTTCTAACATTATAAATGTCTTTACTGTCACTCTTGATCAATTGAATGCATCCTTGCTCAATAAAAGTATGAATTCAAAATCCCGTCTCTTATGAAAGTGAGTGTCAGGCTATTATTCTTATAACTTGATTTAAACCATGTATTATGTTGCAGTTCCTAACAAACTGTCAAGTTACTGTTTTATTTGCACTCCAAAGCCAGTTTGTATTGGTATCCTGGTCTGTAGTGATCATATTATCTTGATGTGTTTATGTTTTGCAGGGGTACCGGCAGAAGGACTATTTCATCGCCACACAGGGTCCTCTGGCGCACACAGTGGATGATTTCTGGAGGATGGTTTGGGAATGGAAATGTCACTCAATCGTGATGCTGACAGAACTGCAGGAGAGAGATCAGGTACACACACACACACACACTCTCACACACACACACACACTCACACACACACACTCACACACACACACACACACACTACAAATCCACTCTCACGCGACTTCCTGTCAGCTTTGTCATTTGGTGTGTGTGTGTGTGTTGCAGGACAAGTGTTTTCAGTACTGGCCTACTGAGGACTCGGTGACTTACGGAGACTTCACAGTGGAGATTAAAGGAGACACGCTGTGTGACACGTTCATTCTCAGAGATCTGCAGCTCACACACGGCCCGGTGAGTGCACATTATGAGCTGATTTGCATTGTAATTTTTTGTAATACTTGCATTCTGCATTCAAGTTGCCTTGGTGTACTTTGGGAGTTAATATGTAAAGGCTGCTTGGATGAACTGTAATGCATGTTGGTGTGTGTGTGTGTGTGTGTTCTTAACAGGAGAAGCAGACACGTTTGGTTCGGCACTTTCATTTCCACGGCTGGCCAGAGATCGGGATCCCAGCCGAAGGTAAAGGGATGATCGACATCATCGCAGCGGTGCAGAAACAGCAGCAGCAGTCGGGCAACAACCCCATCGTCGTGCACTGCAGGTAATGTGTTTAACTAGCTGTCTAAATGAAGTCGCACTGTAGACCAGAGATTCCCAAACCATTTTTGTCAGCCGAAGCCCTTTGGCCTAAAATATCTACTTGAAGAACCCCTGAGATTTTAAATTAATATTTCAGTAATTTAACAATACATTCATATGTTCATGGTTCACTGGTCACATGAAATGCAGGTAAACAAATAAAAAATATATTTTTTTTATGTTTGTAATTTATTTATTTATTTATTTTTTTAATTTTGATTTATTTTATTTTTTTATTTAAACATTATTTAATGCATTTTCTTTAAATTATATAATTAATTATTAGCTTTGCATCAACTCTCAAACTCTTTTGAAGTTTTGTTGCAAACCCCAGTTTGGAAAAAAAAAACACCTTCCGCTAGACTAATTAGAATTGTATTAATTATATTTGATAAAGATTAATCCAAACCTTACTACTATAATACAATGTTTTCAGAATGAAAACGTTATTACTTAACTACTTTATTAATAACTTTTAGCACTGAAAAAAATCAATGCTGCAAATTTTTATCCCTATAACTTTTAGTGTATTTTGAGATACAATTAATAAGATACTAATATAGATTTTATTTTTCCCTTTTCATTTTAGTTAAAGTTTTAGTCATTTTTTTTATTGATTTTGTCATTTTTAGAAGTTGAGAATGCCTTAGCAACTAACTGAAATAAAACGTTTCTAATACATTATTATATTTCAGATACCTGTTATTTTATTTCAAGTAACAGAAATATATTTTAATGGTTTTAATTGTAGTTTTAGTTATATATAATAACCCTGACACCCTGAGTTAACTCTTAGTTTAATCCTTTTGTTTGCATTTTAATATTTTTGAAACCTTTATAAAACGGATATACTTGTGTTCAGCCAGTCATTTCCTGACTTGACTAAGTATGTCATGTATTTAGTATGTTTTTGTGTGCTCTTGCTCTGCAGTGCCGGAGCGGGTCGGACCGGTACGTTTATCGCTCTCAGTAATATTCTGGAGCGAGTGAAAGCCGAGGGTTTGCTGGATGTGTTTCAGACTGTGAAGAGTTTACGAATGCAGCGGCCACACATGGTGCAGACAGTGGTCAGTTCAAACCTTCATACACTTCATATCCATTACACATTTACATCAAGACCATCAAAAACTGATCACGGTAATCAGTAGTTTCTGTCAGAATACTACAATAAAATGGGTAACTTGCTATTGTTATTGCACCACTGTCATTTAAACAATTGTATGACTTAATGCAAGTAATATAAATGAAATAATATAAATGATTTAATTTGTAAGGAATTAAATTCATATTAAATATATATTAGAAACAATATCTTATCATCAATATCATATTATAAATATACAAATTTATTTCATTTATTAATGTGACATTATTTTATAATATTGTCATATTTGACAACCAATGCTACATTTCTGAAAGGGTTAATAAATCATTCTAAATATTTCTCAGTAGCCTGAGCCTTAAGTAAAGTATGAATTTTTATCAAATTATTTTATTCATGTATTATTTATTGTTCTTTCTTTCTGTCTGCAGGAACAGTATGACTTCTGCTACAGAGTGGTACAGGACTTTGTGGACATTTTCTCAGACTATGCCAATTTCAAATGATCTAATCTGCCTTAAATGTTTGAGTTTGATGCTTTTTTACACGTCAGTCGATCAGGATTTTACACCGCGACTGGAAGATAATTACGCTCTATTTTGCTATGCACTTCTCCTCGATGTTACTAAAAGACCTGTAATATACTAAGGCTACTAAAGTTTGAAAAATTCTTTTTCTTTTAACTTTAATGATAAATTATTATAATTCAAATTCAAAATAAAAATGAAAATACTTACCTTATATGTACAGACCTTTGGCCAAACCTGTTTTTAAACAAGATACAGCTATGGCCAAGATATTTGACAAAAATGATTTAGCCCAGATAAAGACTATGTATTTCTGTACTTCAGTCAGTAGATGTCACTGTTGTGTTTACTAAGCCGCTGGAGGTTGCGGCCTACTCTTTCCTTGAAAAAAAATTGGCTTCTCTCTGGTAAATAATGTTGCACTGGAATAGTTTAGCAGAGATTTATAGTACATAAACCTTGTTCAGCATCTTCACATGTAACAGAGCATCTTGAAGCATTTCTGGTAAATTCAAGTTATGCTCTGTGTTTGTTGTGCGGGTAAAAGTGTACATGTCAGTTTAGTTTATTCTCCTGCTCTTTTCTGTCTGGTTGTCCACTGCTTGTGCAAGGTATGATCATAAGCATAGCATTTAGAGACTGTTATGCAGTGAAAACCTCAAAGTGGCTGTTAAAACTAAGACTGAATCACTCCTAAGCCCTTCGGTCCCTCCAGGGTCCCTTCCAGTCCGGCTAAAGATATACCAACTCTGGCTCGTATCTGTATATTTGCAAATTTCATTTAACCTTAGCCTCTCCTTCCGTACCCCCGGTGGATAATCACTTTGTTTACCACAAATTAAACTCGGCCTGATTGTTTACCAGCCGCAAAGTCCCACCACATTTCTAGAAGCCTCGTTTATTTATTTCAATAATCGCAGAGCAGGGAGTCATGTATATGCCGCGCTCATATACATGAAAATTGTACAATTAACTTTTGATTAACCAGCTTGTTGGTTTTTTTCGCGTACTTTCTCCCCGTGCTCTGCCGTGTAATGGCTAGGCTGAATTTTAATAAACGCCTTTAAATTGGGAGCGGCCCTTCCTTTGAGTCGCATGAATGCGAGGAAGCGTTGAATAAATGCACGCTAGAACAATAGCGCAGGCTGCCAGTCTGTGGTGTCATCTTTAAGTATGCAAGGATGAAAGCCTCGCGATTTGTCCATCAAAACAAATAAGAAAGGAAGCCGCTAATTCAGATGGCAGAAAGTCAAGTGCTTTTGAGTGGCCGCGCCACGCGCTCCCCCCGCGCACATCGCTAATGACTGCGGGAGGTGGGGGTCTCTCTCCGTCACGTAGTTTACTTATCTCAAGTCTTGAGAACAATTAGGGCGGACAATAACTATAGTATGACTTTTTGTTGTGCGCCGGCTGCCTGTAGCAGCAGCGGAGCGCGATAACGCCGTCGGGAGACCGCCGGAAAGTCTCTCCAGACCGCGGCCGGGGCTGCAGACCCTCGATTTCGCTCTCCGCGGCCTCCGGTGCAGCGCGCGCCGAAAGGTTGCACTTTTATCATGCTGAATGAACGGCGTCTTGACACGTTTCTTCTGGCAAGCCATAAATTCCTTTGAGGAGATGAACAATAGGAGTTGATTTGGAATACTTTTGTAAACAGGGTGGTAAACAACTGATGCAAAATCGCTTTATTATTATTATTAAAAATTTTTTTTATCAGGCTCTTAAAGAAAACCTAAAGGTCACAGATTACAAATGCTGCAGGTAACCATTGCGCCAATGTCATTTAGCTACTTGTGAATGTCAACAATGATTGATGAGTCACTTTTATGTGCATTTTTAATCATTTAAAATTTTACAATTACACATCCCACACATTACATTGTGGGATACAGTAATTCATTTAGTGTGCGTTCTTATCATTTGCTGCACAATGGTAGTATGCTTTTCCTGATTTAGCCAGTGTTCCCTAATGCAATACTACAGTACCAAACTGCATACTGTGCATTATTCACTGTATTACCAATACTACTTTTTAAAGATTATTTTGAAACAATACTATTGCTGTGAAGTAGTTTGTATGTACATTCCAAACTACACTGGTGTTACATGATATGATGTTTATGTTGAACATTTAATTCAGAGAATAACCTCCAGTTATCATATTAGAAATAACAATTGAAGGTTGATGCTACTTCTGGTTTATTCATCACGCTGGAAATAGAAGGTCAGGTTGAACGCATTGCATGCATTATTCGCTGCAGTATGTTTTGTATAAATGTTGCATGTTTTATAAATTTTAGTAAGTTGTCTGGATATTCTAATGCATAGTATGGTCTATACAGTTTTAGAGAGTTTTGGGCCAGTTGATCGAACTTTGTGACAACATCCAGTGATCAAGTGCATGTGCTTTAAAGCCTTGCAAACTTCATTTTTGTTATTTTTCAAACATGTTTTTGTGAATTCTGCTATGTTATCAAGGTCTATAGTGAAGATTAGACGTTGAGAATGACTTGTGATTGTATTGGTTGCATCAGTTGAAATGGGTTGAAAATATAAACAAATCAGTATGTTCAGCACGGTATGTATCAGTTTGCAGTGAACTTGTGTTTCTGAATGAGAGAAATAGATGTTTTTCTGACACATATAACACATGGTGCTAAAACCAGTTATTTATGATGTTTGTGGCAGGGTCTGTGCAGATGTTGGGCAGACAAGTAACAACCTAAACTACTGGCCTAATAGAATAAAAAAATAGTACTTTTTAACCCCTTATGGCAGTATGCAATACAGAACATAACATGTTTTGGTGGAGACGATAGTTGACATTGTACAGTCTCTTTTGGTGAAGTGAGCGAAGTGACACAATGCGAATCTATATGTAGACAGTTTGGTTGAGTATAATGGGAGCAGTGTGGTTCTGTCGTGTCGTGTCTGCAGTGTAGTCTTTGTGTGTCTCCAACACAGCTGCTTTTGTACAGCTTCATGCAGTGTTTTCATTCGAGAGGAAAAGGGGGCAAAAAAACCTCAATAAAAACGAGAAGAATTGTGAGTTCTTAAGACATCGGCCTCGCTCCGTGGGGGAAAAAAGCACAGAAAGAGAGCAAGTGGCGGAGCGAGTATGAGAGAGGAAAACAGAGCTGTGAACGGCAGCTGAGGCGAGATAAAACAAGCTTTGTGGCTTTTTTTTCACATACTACTGATGGCTGGCAGCAAGGCCGGAGTGCCAGCAGAAGCAGGAATATCTGATAGGTTATGTGTGTTGTATAATGAAAGAAGCCGAGACAGGGGACATGTTAGAAAGCAAGGTGATTCGCGTCATCCCGGGACGATATTTCAGGATCCAGACGGGCACGACAGAATCTATAGAAGATCCACAGAGACTTTTGGGGTTGATCTATAGTTTATAAACTGACCAAAATAATTAGCATTCAAATGAGATTTGAGGAGCTCTTCTGACAGAGGCAGTGACGCCGCCGAATTCCCCCGACTGCCACTCTGATGCCCCGTTTGTCTTCTCTTACCTCTCTTTTACAACTCCGAAAGAGAGAAAAAAGCACTCGGCTAACAACACAGAGCCGCAGTCGGGCGCAGCGGAGTTGAAGAGGTGCTTTGCAAGTTTTTAGTCGCATGAATAATTCGATATCTGAGCTTGTTGTTGCGCTTTTGGATGTATTTTTCAGAAATCTTAACAGCACGCTGGCTCTCTGTGTTTTTGGGGCTCCGTCTCGGTCTCTGTTGCAGCTCTGCGTCTTGTGTTCTCGGCCCACTTTGTTCCATCAAAATACACATTCAAGACACAAATTAGGGGCCCACCAAGTCGGCGCTTCTCTAACCGAATGTAGAAGCGGCGCACACACGCTGTCACAAAGGGAAAACGAGTCCGGGCGAGAGAGAGAGAGACAGTCGGGCGTCAGTCCAAGGCCCGCTAAGAGGCCATTGTTCGAACACAAGAGCCGCGGGCCTGGGAGGGAGATATGGGGGATTTAGCGACATTACTTGAAGCAGGGCTGCGGGAACGACAGGATTGGGGGATGACCAGATTAACGTGTCGTCCTGGAAGCCTCGCGTCAACTTTATCTCCTTCCGCATGGCAGTGGCAACAAAGAGAACAACCTCAGTGCTTAAGGCCATGAAGCAAAACCTGTAGAGCCCTCAGCCAGAAGTACCCACTTCTCGCTCTGTAGCGCACACGTGCGCGCCCTGTCGCATGTAAGGCGTAGCGGCTGTCAGCGCAGACAGCTCCGCTGGGATCCGGCAGGGCAGGGATGCCGGGGAAGAGAGGAACTTTGATGTAAGCTTGTAATCGTGGCGCTACAGCCTCAAATACAGAGTCGACAAACAGCAAACAAAGCTTGTCAGTCAGAGCGCCAAACAAACAAAATAAAAATGTCTGCGGGGCGACTTCAAAAAGACTGCTGGAAAAGTTGAGGCCGGCACTACAAGAACAAAATAATTGTCTCTTTGTTCCGCGGTTTTGTAGGAGAATTCAAACAAAGGGAAATTTAGTCACTGGGACGCATTTGAATAAGTAGAACATGAGAGCACAGAGACTCGACTCTGGTTATATAAGTGCTTGGATCTTATAAGAGTCTTTTAGAAATGGATGAAGGAATTAATGTGAAGGTTCAGGTTTCCCAAAAAGTATTGCCACTTAAGTCATACTTAGAAATGTCTGAATGCCATTGCATTAGATGTTGGACCAAGTGTGAACAAATTATGCTTTTCTCTTCACTTTTGCTGTTCAAAAATTTGGAATCTGTAAGATTTTTTAAATGTATTTATTTGTTTTGAAGAAATTACTTTTATTCAGCTAGAATGCATTAAATTGTTCAAAAGTCACAGTTTAGAGTTTTATAATGTTACAAAAGATTTCTATTTCAAATAAATGCTGTTCTTTTGAGCTTTCTGCTCATCAGAGAATCCTGAAAAAAAAATCACGATTTCCATAAAAATATTAAATATGAAGTTACATAAGAAGCACAACTGTTTTCAACACTGATAATAATCAGAAATGTTTCTTGAGCAGCAAATCAGAATATTAGAATGATTTCTGAAGGATCATGTGACACTGAGGACTGCGGTAATGATGCCGACAATTCAGCTTT